TGGATGTAATTTCTATTAAGAAGTAAATAATAAATCCCCTCTTGTTTTTTAAAATTTACTTGGTGTTACGTGGCATGGAGTAGCCATACTGATGACATTAGCAGGCCTTTTTGTAAGCAATCTGTCATTTTCCTAATGACCTGATATCAAGTGGTTCCACTTTCTGTAATTTTTATGTTTTATGTAAAATCAAAATATTAATAAAAAAAATAGCATCAAGGTAAGTCATTTCATCTATGGTACACAAAAAAATGGTAAAACAATTATCTATTTAACCCACTGCTGTTTTTCTCAACAGTCACTAAAATTAGTCAATTATGGAAGGCAGTAAGAATGGGGTCAGCACACAGTGATCCTTCCTATCCTCTGCTGATCTGAAATTCAGGTTCCTCCTGGCACCTAGCTGGTATGTCACAAGAGGTTAAAAGCACATGCAGTACATTTCCCAGCGCACAGTATATTTATCTTCCATTAATTTTTCTCACTGCTTTTTGGAAGCACGTACCTAGTGTTCACAGCATACGGAGGTAGAGTTCTGGATTTAAGAGTGTTGGGTACCTACCTCCTTTTACTTTAAAGATGCCACCTAACAAAACATCCTTGATTTCCTGTTATTATTTTCCTTTTCACAATCACCTGCAGTCCTGAAAGCATGTGCTGGTGAAAACGTGAGACAGGGGTGGGTTTTTTTTTCTGCTTTTGAACAGCATAAAATTTCTGTGTACAAAACACACCAGGCTGCAGATAAAGAGCCCATACCCATCTTCACCAATTGGAAGGGCCTTCAAAGACAAGAGATTCAAGCTGCCTCAGAGCCCTAGAGAATAAAAACCCTGACTGTGCAGTATAAGACACATTTCAGCCTACAAAAAGGACGTCCCCAAGGACAGCATGGCCCATGCAACCCCTCTAGCTGCTTTAGGTGTGGTTTCTCCAGTGGACATAGACAGGACACACTCACAGTTGAACTCCCAGTCCTCCCCAGCACACAGCCTTCAGGAGAAACAACACTGATCTAACCTCTACCCACTAGGGCAGGGGGTGAGGAGGAATCACAGTATTGTCTAGGTTGGAAAACACCTTGAAGATCATCCAGTCCAACCATCAACCCAACATTAACAGTTCCCAACTACACCAGATCCCTCAGTGCTATGTCGACCCGACTCTTCAACCCCTCCAGGGATGGGGACTCCACCACCTCCCTGGGCAGCCCATTCCAACATCCAACAACCCTTTCTGGAAAGAAATGGTTCCTAATATCTAGTCCAAACCTTCCCTGGTGCAACTCGAGGCCATTCCCTCTTGTCCTATTGCTTGTTACTTGGTTAAAGAGACTCATACCCAGTTCTCTGCACCCTCCTTTCAGGGAGCTGTAGAGGGCCAGGAGATCTCCCCTCAGCCTCCTCTTCTCCAGACTAAACCCCCCCAGTTCCCTCAGCCGCTCCCCAGCAGACCTGTGCTCCAGACCCTGCACCAGCTCCATTGTCCTTCTCTGGACACGCTCGAGTCATTCAATGGACTTTTTGGGGTGAGGGGCCCAAAACTGAACAGAGGAATCGAGGGGTGGCCTCACCAGTGCCGAGTACAGGGGTCAGATCCCTTCCCTGTCCCTGCTGGCCACGCTAGTGCTGACACAAGCCGGGATGCCATTGGCCTTCTTGGCCCCCTGGGCACAGTGCTGGCTCCTGTTCAGCCGGCTGTCAGTCACCCCCCAGGTCCCTCTCTGACTGGCAGCTCTCCAGCCACTCCTCCCCAAGCCTGTAGCGCTGCTGGGGGTTGTTGTGGCCCAAGGGCAGCCCCCGGCATTTGGCCTTATTGAAACTCATAAAGTTGGCCTAAACCAGGAAGGTCCAGGTTGCTAAGAAGTCAAGCCCACCAAAGTCACAACGCCTAGAGACGCCTAACCTTCCACATCCCCCGTTACGAAAGGCCCTGGAAGACCCCAATCCCCCCCCCCCTTACAAT